TGAAGTGTTGATTAAAGTGTTGTTTTGCGGCTTGCCTGTAAATCTCAATGGCTACAAAAATTCTGTTTTTGTAAATAATCAGTACAAACAGACAAGGAATACGAAAAAAAAACTACATTTTTTTAAATTTTTTTGGCTGAAAACCTGGACAAAAACTAAAAATGAAGAAATGAACTAAATTTTGCTTCTTCTTCAATAAAGGGTATGTACTCAAAATTCAGGAAAATGATGAAGAACCAAAGCACAAGAGATATATTAACTCTTTCTGTGAACTTTTTTTAAAGCTTAAGTACATAACTATAACAAAACTTAACAATGGATAAAACAGAACGAAACCACATAAAACTATTAAAACCAGGGGCGGATTTAGGTGGGGCGGGGGGTGGGTGCGGACGCCCCCTCCCCTCAGGGATTCGACCCCCTGCCGACCCAAAGGGTCCCCCCTTTGATACTTTTTCAGAAATCCATTTTTGGCCGAGCGACCCTAAAATTTTTCTAAAGGCGCCTTCGGCGGCAATATATTCTAACTTTGAGGGGGAGCGCTCGCCAAAAAAACGCGATTTTTTTGTCAAAATTTTTCAACAAGTGCCCAAAAACGGCTTTTTGACTGTTTTTTCAAAAATTTGCCTGCGGCGCAGAAAATTTTGCCAAAATCCGGGCAAAACTGTGCTTTGGGAGAGCTCGAAAAATCAATTTGGTTGACCAAAAAAAAAAGATTGTCAAAATTTTCGAATTTTTTTTGAAAATCCGCCCCCCCCCCCCTCGAGAAAATCCTAGATCCGCCCCTGATTAAAACCAAAGTCAAACACTTAGGCTAGTAAAACTTGATTTTACAAAACGAAAACTAGTTTTGGAAGCTTCATTTAGCATTTTGTTGGCTGTACAAATTTTCTTTAAGAAAATTTTAAATTTATTGTTAATACAAATTAGAACACGATTAGCCGGTTACTGTCCGACCAAAGTATATTTTTTTCAAATTGGTCTCGTTTTTTTTCTGCATGTCGCGATAAAAAAATCTGAAAAAAAAATTCGGGCTTATTTCAGAGTCATACTATGATAGGTCAAATGGAAAACAGATTTTCAAGAAAAATGAACAGAAAAACGAAAAAAAAAAATTGAAAAAATTTCAAAAAATTTTTTCAATTTTTTTTGCGGAAAATATTTGAGTTTTCAAGTTTTTGATTCCCAAAATTACACTATAAAACTTCAAAAACCACCTTCATTTGAGTAAAACTAAGTTTTCAGGGCATAAATAAAGCTTAAATAAGCTATTGTTAGCCTAAACGGTCACCTTATTAACTCGAAATTAGACCAAAATTCAAAAATTTCAAACCGGTTTCTCTCAACACTGTGAAAAATTCAAAATATTGAAGTCGTCCGAATCACGATTGAAAGGGCTTTTTAATGATATATCACTGGACCCATTCCGATGATTATTTGTGGTACCTTATTTTGCATGGAAAAAAAACTGAAACACACCCGTATACAAAGTTTCTCCCCATTTTCAATGGTCGGAGCAAAAAGTTATATACATTTTGGGGACAGCAGTTGTCAATTTTGTCTCTATTACTGATTTTTTACGCGTTTTTCTAGTTCCCTCATCACACCTCCAGCAAGAAACGACACTAACTTGAAGAAAAAAATTTCGAAACATTTCTGATGACTAATTTTTTTAATGCAATTTCAATCAATGAAATAAGGATATAAGCAATGAAAGGAAGATTTTCGAAAGATGAGCATTGACGAACTGATTCACAATATCTGACACTTGATTGCCTGAAATTACTTTCAAACTGATAATCATCAAAATTGACGTTGAAACTTGTAGCTCTAAAAATTTCAAGGAGAGACTGTTCGACTTGTGTTACGTTTTTCGTCTCAATTTTTTGTTTGATTCCCATGATGTTTTTTCACTGTCACAAAAATCCATTGAACTTGCAATAATCCGATTTTTTGAGTGTTTTTTTTGGCCAAATAAAAAACTTTTTGTAATATTTAATCGTGAAACTTTTGCATCATTTTTAGACCATGAACTGATGATTGCTAGGAGGTAATTTTTTTAATTCATAGGCGTGCTATTTTGTTTGTTTGCCTTAAAATGCTCTGAGACTGATAATCACTAGAAGTTTTTGAAGATTTTTTACTTTATTTTTATTTTAATGCTTATCATTTATGAGCACAATTTCTTTGATTGTTAAAACTTCACTGTTGGATTTTCATTTTATAATTTTGTTTCCTTTTTCTTTAATCATAATTACTTAAATTGTTTTATCTGTATGCCTAAAATTACTTTGATACTGATAATCATCAGAAATTTTGAAATTTTTTAATCTGAACTTTATTCTGGTGGTTATTAGTTATTCGCACAATTTCATTCATAGTTAAAATTTCATTGTGCAATTTCATTTTATAGTTTATTTTGACTTAGTTATAATGATAACTAGCTGTATTATAATCATTGTTAGTTGAATTATTTTATCTGATTGTCTAAAGTTGCTTTATGACTGATAATCATCAGAAATTTTTGAAATTTTTCCCTCTGATTTTTTTTTCTGATGATTATTAGTTATGCGCACAAATTCATTCCTTGTTAAAATTTCATTAGCAATTTCATTTTATAGTTTAATTTGACTTAGTTATAATGATAACTAGCCGTATTATAATCATTATTAGGTGAATTATTTTATCTGTTTGTCTAAAATTGCTTTATGACTGATAATCATCAGAAATTTTGAAACTTTTTAATCTGAATTTTATTCTGGTGGTTATTAGTTATTCGCACAATTTCATTCATTGTTAAAATTTCATTGTGCAATTTCATTTTATAGTTTATTTTGACTTAGTGATAATGATAACTAGCCGTATTATAATCACTATTAGGTGTTTATTTTATCTGTTTGTCTAAAATTGCTTTATGACTGATAATCATCAGAAATTTTGAAATTTTTCACTCTGATTTTGTTCTGATGGTTATTTGTTATGCGCACAATTTCATTCATAGTTAAAATTTCATTGTGCAATTTCATTTTATAGTTTATTTTGACTTAGTTATAATGATAACTAGCTGTATTATAATCATTGTTAGTTGAATTATTTTATCTGATTGTCTAAAGTTGCTTTATGACTGATAATCATCAGAAATTTTTGAAATTTTTCCCTCTGATTTTTTTTTTCTGATGATTATTAGTTATGCGCACAAATTCATTCTTTGTTAAAATTTCATTAGCAATTTCATTTTATAGTTTAATTTGACTTAGTTATAATGATAACTAGCCGTATTATAATCATTATTAGGTGAATTATTTTATCTGTTTGTCTAAAATTGCTTTATGACTGATAATCATCAGAAATTTTGAAACTTTTTAATCTGAATTTTATTCTGGTGGTTATTAGTTATTCGCACAATTTCATTCATTGTTAAAATTTCATTGTGCAATTTCATTTTATAGTTTATTTTGACTTAGTGATAATGATAACTAGCCGTATTATAATCACTATTAGGTGTTTATTTTATCTGTTTGTCTAAAATTGCTTTATGACTGATAATCATCAGAAATTTTGAAATTTTTTACTCTGATTTTTTTCTGATGGTTATGAGTTATACGCACAATTTCATTCATTGTTAAATTTTATTGTGCAATTTTATTTTTTAATTTATATTGACTTAGTTATAATAATAACTAGCCGTATTATAATCAATATTAGTTGAATTATTTTATCTGTTTATTTTGTCTAAAATTGCTTTACGACTGATAATCATCAGAAATTTTGAAATTTTTCACTCTGATTTTGTTCTGATGGTTATTTGTTATGCGCACAATTTCATTCATTGTTAAAACCTCATTGTGCAATTTTATTTTGTAATTTGTTTTGACTTAGTTATAATAATAAATAGCTGTATTAAAATCATTATTAGTTGAACTATTTTATCTGTTTGTCTAAAATTGCTTCATGACTGATAATCATCGGAAATTTTGAAACTTTTTTCTTTGTTTTTTTTTCTAATGGTTACTAGTTATACGCACTATTTCATTGATTATTAAAATTTCATTGTGCAATTTCAATTTATAATTTCATTTCACTTTGTTATACCCATAATCAGCCTAATTTTTAGTCTTAAAAGAGTTTTAAAACCGAAAGTTTAGAAGAATTTGTGAAAAATTTTCAGCAAATTTTAGATAATTCTTCAAAAAGAAGACCGGAATTTTTTTTTGAAATCATGGAAAATATTGTAAGTAAAATTGCCCATCTTTATTATGTGCGACCCATGTTGCGAATTTGCGCGACCCATTTTGCGACTCTGCACGACGCATGTTGCGACTTTGCGCGACCCATGTTGCGACTTTGTGCGTCTCATTTGCGACTTTGCGCGACCCATTTTGCGACTTTGCGCGACCCATTTTGCAACTTTGCGCAACCCATGTTCCCACTTTGCGTGACTCATGTTGCGGCTCGGGTTGAGGTCAGGAGCTTATGTTGCGACCATTGCGACTCATAATGGATATGTTGCGACTTTGCGCAACCGAAACAAGATATGTTGCGCCTTTGTGCGACCCAAATGAGCTATATTGCGACTTTGCGCGACCAAAACAGGATATGCTGCGGATTTGTGCGACCCAAATTAGCTACGTTATGACTTTGCGCGACCCTAATTGGCTATTTTGCGACTTTGTGCGACGCAAGCCTCTTGTGGGATGATGGAGTTTTGGTCGCACAAAGTTCATTTTGGCGACCCATTTTGGTCGCAACATGAGTCGCAGACCTCGACCCGAGAAGTTTTCCAGGACAATCGTATTTGAATTACACTCAGTTTCGGCCGAGAAATCTGATAAACACACTGGCTTTTGGTTGAGATGGTTAAAAAAGGACACTTTCGACCCAAGTTTTATATTTGCTGTGAATGTTTATATTTTTACGGCCTATCTCCACGATTTGCAACTTCTAGATTCGAAAAAGAAAAAGAAACACAAAAATTTTTGTTTGCGAAAATGAGGCTATAAACTATGCCAAGATAGCAGACAACTTCTAAAAGACAGAATATGAACGAAAACAAATGAATGCCAATGCGGTTTCCAGTTATCAAAATTTCCACTGTGATTAAGTTTTAATTTTAAATTGCAACTAGATGATTTTCTGTTTCATTTTATATTTACTGGCTTGAAAGCACCTTATTTGGGATGATCTTTACAAATTTGTCAAAATTATTGAAATTTTACTGATTTTCTGAAACTTTCTTCTAATAATGTTGATTATCTGTTTCTCCCTCTTACAGCGTTGAGTCTTCTTTCGTTCGGGTTTCGGCACAGAATGATATCGACGAATGCGTCTCGGAAAAGCCGGTTGAATATCGTGTATATAATCGGGTTCAGCATCGACGAAATGTACCCCATCCAAGTCGTGAATTCAATTACCTTCGGGCCTATGTGGTTTTCGACGCACGACTTGCAAATTGGCGTGAAAATATTGATTGCAAAAAATGGAAACCAAAGCAAGACGAATGATACGAACACGATAAGCAGGACCATCTGTGCTCGTCTCTCGTTCTCTTTTTGGTCTCGTTTCCGCTTCTGAGCTGCACTGGTGACTATTGTTGAGCTGGCACCCAAATGTGCTCGATTGGCCGATGAGCTATTAGACGAATTGATTCCCTTCTGCTTACTAGTCGACGCATTCTGGGCAAACGTTGTGGCTTGAGTGCTATTATTGTTCTTATTGTTTGCTTTGTTGTTTTTTGTATGCTCCGTTTTCTCCGGACATAGTTCGATTTCTCCACCTCCGAAATCGTTGTTCGTTTTGTTCGAGGCCACTTTTTTGCTCTTTTTGGTTTTTAAAGCGATGTAAAGTTTAGCCCGGGCGCCTTTTGGGTGGCCTGCTTTACCTCCACCCGATAGCCCTCCATTGGCAATTTTAGGCGCGTGTTTTTTGTTCTTCAGACTGCGTTGCCTTAAGGCGTAAACTGTGAGCGAGTAAAGAACCATCATGGTGAAGAAGGGTATATAGAAAGCAGCTAGGGATCCGTAGAGCATAATGTGTTCGCTGAAGATAGCACATATGAACACGCTTTCTATCATCCTGTACGAGTTGGCCTGTGTTATTAGAGAGAGGGTGAACAAAGTGCCCCCCACGCAGGAGGACAGGAACCATACAGAGAACATCTTGATGGTGGCCCACTTTTTCGATCTGTTCATCTCTCCATACCTGACACAAATTACAATTCGCGCATAAAAAGAGAGCGCAAAATCCTGCAGAATTTTTTCATAAAATTTGAAAAGTGTCCGAAGTGTCCTATTCGTTTATCCATGAGCTAGACTAACTACCACATGAAGTTGATCGGTTTAAAATTCTTCACAACGACTCGTTGTTAAATTTCTCCCGAAAAACTGCATAAATTTTTTGCAAACTTTAGCTTTTTAGAATGGAAGGCAAACAAATTTTTCTGAGATTTTCTGCTCTGGGAACCATACACACCGATTAGGAATTGTTCACACCTTTGGCTAATTATTTTTGTGAAAAAAAAAGATTTCTGAAAGCTTCAAACAATTTGAAAATGAACTACCTGACAGGCGTCCGTATGGCCATGTATCTGTCTAACTGTATGGTGCACAGATGTAGTATGGAGGAGGTGCAGAAAGTGACGTCCATAGTCGTCCATAGATTGCACATTATGGGACCCAGGACCCACGATCCTGCAACATATTCATGTTCATATGCTCATAAGTATACAAAGCTCTCCTTATACTATAGTTCAATATAATACAAAGAAACATATTCGAGAAATGCACGCAAAGATTTTCAGTGGTATGAAACGTTTTTTTTTTAAATTTGTTTTGCTTGCATGCCTGCTTGCTTGCCCATCGGCTGTTTTTTTTCTCTCTTTCTTTCATTCTTTTTTGCTGTGATAACTGGTTTGGCAGCCAGTCATTCTTGTTTTTTTGAAAGTTTGGACAACCAAATTGCCCTTCCTTGCAACCAAATTGTTAACTGCTACCTTTTTTCGATCAGAAGTTTTTCTGTTGCTTTGTTCAGCTAACTAACTTTCAGAAAACGTACCTTTTTTAAACTATGACATAAACTTTTTCAAACTATAACGGATTTGGCTCTAAAAAGGGATTAGTTGAAGAATTTGAAGTGTATATCAGCAAACACACTGATTGGGTGTTTACCTGCGAAGTTGTTGACAAGTGCGAGCGGCATTACGAAAGCGGCCACCCCCAAATCGGCAACTGAGAGAGAAAAGAGGAAGTAGTTGGTCATGCTCTGCAGCTTCTTATCCCTCCACACAGCCAGACAGACCATGAAGTTGCCCACTATGGACACTAAGATGCAGAAGAGAAGGGGCAGCAGGGGCCAGATGAAGTCGATGGGGGGTCTGTCCTCCCACCACACGGCCGCCCCCAGGGGCGAGGAGGGGGAGGAGTCATCGCCACTCATCGCGCCTGTCTGATTCCTGAAACAAGTAAAAATTATAATAACTTTTTGTTTAATTTAATTGCCTAATACTTAAAAATCGATGCCTCAGTATGCAAGGTTTACAAAATTACAAAAAAATCATCACAGTTTTTCTTGAGAAAGCTGTCCCAGGAGTACCTAGGCCTACAACATCCTCCGACGAATTCTCTGGCATAAACTGGCTAAAACTAGGTGTTGCTTGCTGACTAAAAACAATAAAAACACCTGGTATATGCTTCATCAACCAAATGTCTTTTCAGCAACTGTCGTGAGAATGCAGTCCTGTAAATCATAATGGATGCATTTTTAAATAGGGCAGAGCAAATTTATCAGTAAATCTCAAAGAATAACATGGGATATTCTATCAACACGAAATCATGAGCGCTCAAACTGCTCTTTAACTCAACTGTAGCACGCAATTTCAGGTTAAAAGTTAAAGAAAAACGTCTTTTAAAATATGGATAAACTACAAACCGAGAAAAAATATTCCGTCACTTTCTTTGAAAAATAAAGAGCTCATACACAGGTATATATAATGAGCAACCTTTCAAAAACACAGAACAGAAGTTTGGAAATTTCATAGAGTTGATAGTATTTTAACCATTCATTTCGGAGAAGGTGATGGGTTAATTTTACGTGCGCTGGTTTTTTAACATTCAAACCAAATTCGAGTTTTTTTTTATTTTTCTGCTTTTGGCCGAATGTTACACGGTTTCGAAAGATTTGATACCTGGAGCCGGTTATTCAAAATTTAAAAGATAACTTACATGCCATTATTTTTCGCAGAGATGATTAAAAAAAACTATTTTTTTTTCAAATGGAATTGACTTTAGACAAAAAGTAAAAATTTAAAAACGATATAAACAAAGTTGGCTGGGAACTTTATCGGTTTTTTTGTGGATTGTTGCAAAATTTGAAACAAAAATTTTAGTCAATCAAAAACTAAGCTAAAACTGCCAAACAATTTTTTGAAAAAACTATATCAAAATTAGTCTTTTGACCCAAAAAGTTTTGAGAAAAACAGGGGCGGATTTAGGGCGTGGGCGGGGGGAACCCCTGCCGATTCAAAGGGTCCACCTTTGCACTATTTCGAGATATCCATTTTTGGCGATGGATCCTAAAAATTTTCTACAGGCGCCTTCGGCGCCAATATATACTAATTTTGAGGGAGCGCCTTTTTTTCAAAATTTTGCCTGCTAATTTTTTTTTTGCAAAAATCGTTTTGGGTGATAACCATGAAGCTTGCCACAAAAAAATTAATTGATTTTTTACAAAGGCCAAAGCTGCAACCCTTTGTATCTTTCTTTTTTAGAGTCCTGTTTGAAAAAAAATAAATGAGCGTGACTAACACATACTCGAGCCAATTTGGTTCAGATAAAACTAGGCCCCAGTAGACTTTCTCATGAGGATCGTGAAGTCCTGTCACGACTATTCAGTCATAAAGTAATTAGTAAAATCAATTCTGTGAAATGGCCACCTTCATCTTCTTTAGGTGCGTTTAAAAAATTAAGCTTGGCTCAGCAATTCAGAAAAATTGAGATCACATTGAACGCACTCTTTGACTGGAAAAAAATCACAACAATTTCAGATTAATTCTAATTAATTGCTATCTAGTGTTTTTTTTTTAATATTCATATCAATCTTCTTACTACTCAACTGTTTTTTCAAAAATTTACCTGCCGCGCAGAAAATTTGCTCAAAATGTGGGTCTATATAGTGATTTGGGAGAGCTCGGAAAATCAATTTGGTCGACCTAAAAAAAGTTTGGCCCCCCTCAAGAAAATTCTAGTTCCGCCCCTGAAGAAAAGTGAACTTTGCACCTGAACTTTGCAAGTATGAATTTAAATTTTTTGACAACCAAAACTGTCAGTTTTAATATTGTTTAAGTTTTTATTAGTCGAGAGAAGTTCTTTCTGAATACATATTCTTTCTAATTTTCATTTGAATTTTTTTTTAAATAACTTTTTGAAAAGAGTTAGGCTGCATCTGCTTTCTCATCAGGCGCCATTGAAGCTAGAGTTAACGCGAGTTGAAAGAGAACATCTATACTTCAATCGTCAATCAGTCTTTTAGTTTTTGTAGTGACACTTACGTTTGCAGCTTTTAGTCTCGTCCCCTCAAAAAAGATTAAAAGTTTCAGAAAAACCAAATTAGAATGACAAAAAAGTTTTTTTTTCACAAATTCAGCTGGTCTTCTTTTGTTTCGTGTTTTATAAACTTATCTGTGCCATTTTAAAATAATTGTCAATCAAAAAAGGCTAAAATTTATATGATATCCATGAAAGAACGGAATAAAGGCAAACCAAATTTTGAAAACTCGAGATATTATGATAAACTTTTTTCAATAATGTAAAATATTATTAAGTCAAAAACATCAGCAACGAATTGAGTCGAAATAATTGATTTAAGATTTGGAAGTGGAGAATAAATAATTGTAGGCATTGATAATTTGAAAAGCAGTAACGAGTAACGCATTTTCTTCCGAGACAAATGATTGTGAGCCTGCGATGCTGGGAATTGAACTTTTTCTCAAAAAATCCAAAAACTTATTGTTTTTTTTTCAATTAAGTATTTTGAATTCACGGTACATATTCAGATTCCAAGATAGCAGTTCAAATTACTCGAGGGAAAAAAGAAACTTCTTCCTTTGACAGCCCTAGGGGGTCGAAAATAAATAAATTAAAACAGAAAAATGTTCTCAGTTTTCCTCACAGGCTTGCTACTTAAGTATTCTCTCTCGGTTTTAATCGAGCTCTCTACCAATCGATAAAATGTCTCAGTCTAAGAGATATTTGTAAAGGTTTTTTTTTCCTGTTCTACCAAATAAAATGAAGTGTTTTTCGAGTGAAGCTGAAATGAACTTTTTATTCTACTGAATGAAGTAAGGATATTTCACAAGCCATGGCTAAAATGCTTTTAGTATCAGAAATAATTCCACATGAATCTTTTTAATTTTATCCGATTAAGCAAAAAAAAAAGATTTTTTTTCCTCAAAATAGATATTAAAATCTTTATTCATTTGGGAAAATACGAATACACGAGGGTAATTCTTTTCTACACGCAGATATATTGAATTATAAAATAACCGAAAAATTGACAAAAAATGGCATTACGGTCAGCCTTATTTGAAATACTCACTTAGTGTCAGGATTGAGGGCACAACTAAAAGGCTTTTTAAGAGTTTCTTAAATCCATTTAGTTGATGGGGGATTGAATATCATTGCCTTTAAAGAGGAGTGTTGGAGCAGAAACTGAATTAACTTGAAACCAAAAAACTTTATTGAGTAAAAAAAAGCATTTTTGACAGCAAAAATGGGAAGACCAAATCGTTAAAATGTTGATTGATTTCTAATTGGTGAATGTTTTGGTTTGGATCAATCCAAAACAGTCTAACCTCAAATCCTACTCTATTTCGAAAAATCAACACTCGGAGACAACAAGTCATCCAATCAAATATCACCAAATAAGGACAATTGTAAATTTTTGAAGATCAAAAACTGAAAAAATGTTCATCCGCAGCATCAATATTCATTCGTATTTTTACAAAAATGTGACTAAATTTTATTGACATTACTGATTTCTTTTCTCTTAAGCCAAAACTTAAATTGAAAAGTTTCAACTTCCGAAGAAAATCACGTCAGGGTCTCAAATTTTGCCATTTTTTGAGATTAACATTTGAGATTAATGTTAATTTAGTTTAAAAAAATTAGTTTAAAAAAATTAAAATTTGGCCGCTCGAAAACGAGAAATAATCATACCTGAACGCACTATTCCATCGTAATTTGTTTTTGTTTCATAAAGTTTATTCACAAATGTTAATTAAGAGCTTGAAGTAATTGAATTTTTATTACACCTGATTTGCAACTATAGGTATTTAAGGAACCGCGAAGAAGTCCCTGATATATATTTTGAGTATTTTTTCTTGTCCCTCATTTTTCAACTAGATAAATTTAAAATAGATAATTTCATTGTTCAAGTAAATAAACTTAATCCGAAAACTTTAATTTGCCTCCTTGATCTTTAATTAGAGCGGAAATTAAATGAGAGCGTTCGCACGTCTTTTGAGTTTTAAAATGTAAATTAATGATGACCTTTTACAATGAAATTTTTTTTTGGAACCACGCTGAAGCGTCTTTTAAGTGAAAGTAGCCTGCTATCGTTATCAAGGCCAGCCCTTAAAAGTCCCACTTTTTTTGCTCTCTAATAGTTTTTGGTAAACAAAAATTTGATAAACTATAATTCCGGACTGTCAATATCAAATATTAAAGGTCAAATTTAAGTTAGATAATTGAAACAAGACTGCTCGTATCAAGGTGAAGCTTTGATTGCTCTGACTGCTGTTTATGCAGTTCAACGTCGTGAAAAAAAATGGCGGACGCTCCCTCCCTCAGGGATTCGACCCCCTGCCGACCCAAAGGGTCCCCCTTTGTACTATTTTGAGACATCCATTTTTGGTGATGGACCCTAAAATTTTTCTAAAGGCACCTTTGATGCCAATATATACTAATTTTGAGCGGGGAGCGCGCGCCAAAAAGTGCCTAAAATTGCGGCGCAGAAATTTTGGCCGAAACAGGGTCTTTGTAGTGCTTTGGGAGAGCTCAGAAAATCAATTCGATTCAATTTAATCGACCTAAAAAAAGGTCGTCAAAACTTTCAACAAATTTTTTTTTGAAAATCCTCCCCCCACCCTCGAGAAAATCCTAGATCCGCCCCTAGTTTTGTGATAATAACTTGTGTAGCGCTTAAGTTAATTTGTATAACGCTTTCAGCATCATAGAGAAAAAGTTGAAACTGGTGTCTGGCAAATAAGACGACAGCTGTTAAGACGACAACCGCTTTTGGCGGGAATTTAAGACAAGGTTGCACACAAACTCTCCTATTGTTTTTTTGAGAAATGTACAAGTCGCTTAAAATTGAATGGTTCTATTGCAAGTTTTAACTCTCATTTGTCGGCCTAATGTCATGTCGTTTGAATTCTTGTCGTCTTATTTACCTAGCAACGTTCAAACTATTGAACAGGTAGCTAAAATAGTCTCAACCCGCATTTAGGACAGTAAGTAGCACACCCGCATGAAAGCACGTGAGTTACATGATTCTCGACTCACTTTTTTCTCCAGTAAATGCTTTGAATTTAAAAAAAAATCAGCCCAAGCATACACATTCCTCAACTTTTCGAAACTTGCAACAACAAAACTGCGCGTAAAAAGGCAAAGCAATTACGTTTTCAGTATCTAAGCGATACTCTGATTATTTTCACTGCCTTTTAGTTTTGAAAATAGCATCAATAAAGTAAGTTTCGGTTTGAAAAATTGTTGAAACATAAGCAAAAAACAAAATAATGTTGATTTTTTTTTTCAATTTTTTCCAGTTTTATTTCTTAGTCTTAACCCTTCACACGATATTTAAAATACAAAGTGAACATAATTTCTTTCCTCCGGTAACTTAATAAAACGAGAAATACTTAACTTAATAATATAAGTATGAATCTGGGGCGGATCTAGGATTTTCTCGACGGGGGGGGAGGTGGGGATCGGATTTTCAACATTTTTTTTGAAAAAACAGCGTTTTAGGCACTTTTTGAAAATGTTGACCAAAAAATCGCGTTTTTCGGCGCGCTCTCCCCCCTCAAAATTAGTATATTTTGGCGCCCAAGGCGCTTTAAGAAAAAATTTAGGGTCAGTCAGCCAAAAATGGATATCTCAAAATAGTGCAAAAGGGGACCCTTTGGGTCGGCATGGGGTCGAATTCCTGAGGGGAAAGGGCATCCGCCCCCTCCCCCCTGAATCCGCTGGTGGTATGAATGATGTAGTTTGCCGCGGTAAGGATTCAGGGTGCCGATCGAAACGTATGAGTTATTGGTCCCAATTACATTTATTTGCAAAAAAGTAGTAGATTCAATACCTCTTTACTTGAGCAAATTTTCTTAAATAAAAATTTTCATATTTTGAGCTCTGGACATCGCTATCTTTCAGATGGAATAAAAAAAACTCTGCCAAAAGCGACCAGTTAAAAAGTAGCGGCATCATAATTTTCAAGAACATTGGAGCAATATGATATAGAAGAAGAAATTGCCAAATTTTTCTTCTTAATTGGAAGATCAGTCGTTCAACACCAACAACGGTTCGCCTTAATTGCTTGCGAGGGTTAGGAACAATTACCCAGTGCCGAAAAAGAGTTGCCAGTAGGTAAAAATTAGAGCCGAAATAATTTCTGCATCATTGAGAATTAAATAGCTCGTATGCTAGTCGTCTCCTTTAACAGTCTTATGTTTGTGTAAATGGTCGTCTCATCTGAAAATGAAATACGCCAGCTGCAAAAATTTTTTGAAGACACTCAGTAATTGATACAGGGGCGGATCTAGGATTTTCTCGAGGGGGGGGGGGCGGATTTTAAAAAAAAATCTAAAATTTTGTCGACCTTTTTTTTTTAGGTCGACCAAATTGATTAACTGAGCTCTCCCAAATCACTACAAAACCCTGTTTTGGCCGAAATTTGTACGCCGCAGGTAAAATTTTGAAAAAAAGTCGTTTTTAGGCACTTTTTGGAAAATTTTACCAAAAAATCGCGTTTTTCGGCGCGCGCTCCCCCCTCAAAATTAGTATATATTGGCGGCGAAGGGCGTTATTAGAAAAATTTTAAGGTCCGTCACCAAAAATGGATTTCTGAAAAAGTATCAAAGGGGGGACCCTTTGGGTCGGCAGGGTGTCGAATCCCTGATGGGGGCGTCCATACCCCCCTCCCCCCTAAATCCGCTCCTGAATTGATACCAAATCCACAAAATATCCAATGAGCCTAATGCATGCTTGGAGTACCAAATGCGTCAAAATATTTTGAGCCATTTTTTGCACATGCTAAAAAATTTAGCACTATTATCAACTTTTCATTCAATCAGTTATTCATTACTCAGTTTTTTGATTTAGTTTTTTGAGTCCGTTTTTGCACCTTTTTTCGTCGTATGAGTTTTTGGCTACTGATAAAAGCAGTGTTTTGATGGAACCCCAAGTGACGTTTCTTTCAGATGGTTGTTCCTGCACGACAATGCAATCAAACTGACATTTTTTTCCTTTTCAGCTCTCAGAACGATTTGAATAGTTTACAAAAGTCAATTGTATTTATTTCAATAACTTATGCAGACACATTTGCCTACTTCAAAGGAGGCACTTAATGATTTACTAACATCAATTGTTTTTATAATTTCCCAAAAAAAATGAGAAAACTGACAAAAACTGATAAAAACAAAAGCTTGAACTTTGCACGAAGCTTTATCTGTAAACTTCAATATTTTGCGATGATCTAAAATTCAAAATTTATATTGTTTTTTTTTTCAGTTAGTGAGGGCAAGGTAATTGCCGGCTCCGAACGATTAACTATTTTAATCAACTAAAACTTTTTTGTAGTTCAAACGATCCAAGCGCAAAAATAGAGTGAAAGAACATGATTTATTGCGTATACAGTGTTTTTGCGACTTCTGTTTTTCTCGTAAAAATATCACCGCCAAAAAGCAGATGATTCATCTAAAAAGCACTTTTCTATTTTATGCAATTTAAGAAAATTCAGGGGCGGATCTAGGATTTTCTCAGGCTCAGGGGGGGGGGGGGTATCCACCAAATTTTTTTAGGCCGACCAAATTTATTTTCCGAGCTCTGCCGAGACTGTGTTTTGGCCAGATTTTCTGCGCCGCAGGCAAAATTTTTGAAAAATCAGGCCAAAAATACGTTTTTAGTCTTTTTTTTGGAAAATATTGACTAAAAAATTGCGTTTTTTCGGCGCGCGCTCCCCCCTCAAACCCCCCTCAAAGTTAGTATATATTGGCGCCAAAGGCGCTTATAGAAAAATTGTAGTGTCCGTCACCAAAAATGGATATCTCAAAATAGTACAAAATAGGGACCCTTTTGTACCCTTTTGGTCGGCAGGGGGTCGAATCCCTGAGGGGGGGATCGAATCCATTATGTCTTAAGCTCTTCGTGAAGTGGGAAAAACTATGGCGTATGTCCTGCTTTTAGCCGAGTTTGACCAACGCAATAAACTCGTACGGGAATTTAAAAAATCATATCAACGCTCTTTAAGACGTGATTTGATGTCTAAAAACAGAAAAAATAATCTCAGTGTCGAGAAAAACTAGTTTCAAAACTTTAGGCTGTTCAATTATATTAGAAAACTCGATGAGATGCCGAATTCCCTTTTTTTCTTGTTGTAACTTGATGTTAAAAGTTTAAGGTTGTTTTAGCTATTATAAACAGCAGGGCGGGAGTTAGGGTGGGCAGGGATTCGACCGCCACTCAAGGGGTTTCTTTTTTGGTTTTGTCTAGCAAAATTGACCCAGCAGTTTTTCAAACTTTTGCCAAACTTTTTTTAAACAGCAAAATAGTGGGTCTGAACACAAACTTGCATCATACTAATCCTGGTGAACCTTCAAACAACTTTCATGAAAAGTTTCAGGTTTTCCTCACCTTTTTTTTCAGATTTTTTAAAACAGCGTTGTATTGTTGATATCCGTATGAAATTTATTCGACGATTTAGTTTCAAAAAGATCCAAAAAATGATGAAATATTCTGCCTGGAAAAATTATAGAAGGTAGGTATACTTTTTATGTCAATTAAAAAGATTTGCGATCTATTCGTATACTCTCGCAGAATTTGCCAATTTTTTCAAGATAGAAGTCAAATGCAAAATGCTGGAGGGGGGTGGGGTGTTATGAGACAGTTTTGTTGAACGAGGGCTTGAAACGTTGATTTTCCTTCATTGAGCAATAAAAAAAACGACGATGCTGATCAGATACAGGAATCGGTCTAAGTACATATGCTAATACAAAATGTGGAAAGAAACAACTGAAGGGTTGGGTTGATGTGAAACATTGAAACTTGATCTTTCATTTAACTATTCTGGCATCGAATAGTACATAAAATTGTTTACTTTCATCAGCCAATACTCTTACAAACACCTATTGGTCTTTAACTCACTTCTAAGTCGCCTATTTAAATCTAAGTCTCAGTCACTCACTTCTCAGTCACCCATTGGTATTTAATTGCGGCATTCAAATGGACAACAAGCTGCTTTTTGTTTTGTTGGGTGTCTTCATGGTTGTCCTGAGTGTGTTTTGCGCCTGCTTTTCCAACAGTCACGATGGATACCACTGGGGCAGTGGTTCTGACAAATTACTTGTGGGACTGTGGAAAATCTGCTTTGGAAAAAATTGTTTCAGCTATGGTGAGTTAAGTATGGCCTTGTATGGGTGCCTCTATGGCCTAAATTGGATACCAGCTGACCGTAATAGACTATAGAAAACATCGGAATGTTATTAGAAAAAGAGCCTTTCAAAAAATCAAAATAGGAAAAAATTCAGTGAAGAATTGCGGAGATCATGGGCGTATTTTGTTGGGGTCAAACTACTCCGAGGTGAGACAGATTCATTAAAGAGATTAATCCGGCGTATGTCAACTAGTCGAAACTGATTAAACTCAGAGAAGGTCAATGAGTGATCACAAGCTAATTAGTTAGTCAGTTTTTAACTAACTGTTATTTTGTGATCCTTAGTTATCATGTCATTTAATTCTCTGAATGCATTATTCAAAAATACTATATTCTCCCAATCTTAGTTGCTCTAACTCTGCATATTAACATATTTACGGGGGGACTCAGCAACCAAAGGGTCCTTGCTATTATTTTATGACATCCATTTTTAGCTGATGAACCCTGAAGTTTGTCTGAAGGCGCAACATATACTAATTTTGAAGGGAAGAGCACAATTTTTGGTCTAAGTTTTCAAAAAAGTGCCCAAAAACGGCATTTTTGACTTACTTTTCAAGAATTTTTTTTGCCAAAGTAGGGTCTATTGTTTTCTAGGAGCGTTCGGAAAATCAACCCCCCCCCCCTCCCCCCCCCCCCCCCCCCTCAAGAAAATCCTAGATCCGCCCCTTACAGAGAAACAGTTATTACATGTTATCAATGTAACAGAATAATTGAAGAGATTCTGAAAAGTTAAGCGCTTATTGACATCTAGTTCGAATAAATACCGAAAATTGTAAAATGGACGGAGTCAACATTTCAGTAACGGATCACCAGCAATCCAGGAGCAATCTTGGTTGCCAAAGTTTTCCGAATAGCCCACTTTTTACTGTTATTTCCTCATATCCAACTTCGACCGACCAATTCTTCATTTTTTCTAAAGTCAATGTTCATTCCAAAAAATAGTAGTCTTTAGTGAAGAGGGCGCACCGAAAAATGCCGTGCAGAAAATCTTGTAAGATATTGTTGGAGCTATAAGTTTCAAAATGGCTGACCTAAAAGAAGGCTGAGGTTTCAACCTCAATATTTCTTTGTATAAATTATACGCTAATTATTTTTTTAGCCTCAGATGACGGTGACAAATACTGGACTGGCGAGTTTGCGACCCGGATAAGGTCTGCGAGGACTTTTTTTATTCTTAGCTACGGGACAGGAGTGTGTGCTGCAATCTCCTTGGCTGGCGTTTTTTTTTGTGGGAAATGTATTTAACATAATCTCAATGGCCACTTGCTCCACTCACGGTATTGAGAGTTGCAAAAAGTTCGGGCTCAGATGACAAATTTAAGTTAGCAATTTTCTAAAACAGATCTTTAAGTACCAAAGTTCAACTTTGAACGAAATGAAAGTTTCTCAAATTGGGTTGACATTAGCCGAAAATTGAAAGAACAAAATTTTCTCAGAGTTTTACTTTGTCTCGTTATACTGGGTCTCAAATTAGCTCCTTATAGTTGGCTCAATTTAGACAAATATACTGATATGGGACAGAGACATTTTTAAGTTTTTAATCTCAACGAGCAAACGAACGATTTTTTTCCACATTTTTGTCGTTTTTTCTGCATCTATTTAAGATAATATGGTTCATTTTTGACACATGCTGGATGAAACTGTTTAAAAGGGCTTAATTGGGCCAAAGTTTGAGAATACTGATTTCAAAGGCGAACTTTGGCCAGTATATCAAAAACCGAAAATTTTAGAGGTGTTCTTGCTGTGGAAAAAACATCGTCAATTAATGGGAAATACTTTGAATTATTGTGCTGAAATGTGAATTATGAGAGTTAATGTTCTGAATTATGTGAATTAATGAGCAAGATATGTGAATTAATAAAGCCAAAATTATTTCTTTGGGAGCAAAAGAGAACATAATTAAAAGAATTATATGGTCAGGCGTCAAAAAAGTACAATTTATGAACAGTTTCTAGCTGAGAATCAAAATAAGTCAAATATTTCTGAGGAGCAGATACTTCAAAAAAATACTGCTCCAATCTATGCACAGGATTCTCATTAGCAGTTATGTTGAGCGCAAAATTTGTCCATTTTTCTGCTAACTTTCAATGTGTGTGGCGGCGTCAAAACAGATTTAACCCGTTTTCAACGCCGGGCCAAGTAGCTCTTTGTACTTCTGTTATCGATCGTTTTTTGGCGGCATGTGTAAATCAAGCTCATTAGCTTCCCAAAAAACTAATTTGAGCACGTTATTATTCGTTCCTTACATTGTTTGCGAGGATGTTTTCACTACATGAACACCTCTCAAATTAGTTTTGATATACTGGCTAATTTAGGCCATCGAAACGGGTGCTCTCAAATGTTTGCCCGATTAAGCCCTTTCAAATAGTTTCATCTAGCATGTGTCAAAAATGAACCAAATATAACTTGTAGAGAAAACGACAAAATCGTGAAAAAAAAATCGTTCATTTGCTGTCGAAATCAAAAACTTGACACTTCTATGTCTCGTGACACTGAAATAAAATAAAATAGACTTGCAAATTATGTCAAAATGAACATTTTGCGTTGAAAAGCAGTCAATAAAGCCTCAAAAATTGGAATTTTTGAAAACCCATTGAATTTTTTCGGTTTTCAAATCAGGTGTAAAAAAAATATATATTTTTTCCAAATTAAGCAAAAATAAAGTTTCAGAACCATCCACGAAATGAAGATGAGAAAAAAAAACACTTCTGAACTCTAAAAAATAGGTGCAGGATTATGGCGAATTTTGATGAGGGCTTAACTGGTCCAGTTGTAGTCTAAACTGTTCTAAACTGATCCAAGTGCCACATACTATTTATTTTCACTTTTACACTTCTGCCTTATTTTTTCGTTTTTTTTTTTAAATTTCATGCAAGATAACAAGTTTCAACTAGATTCGAAAATCCTGAAACAGCAAAACGCTTTAAAACAGGACTCGAAGAGGCAGTGATCCAGAGCACTAAGGTGAATCGGATCACTCAGACAGTGGATAAACACTCTTTTTGGACAGCGACTACATTAGGATTATGATTAAAAAACTAAGTTTTAAGCCTCAAAACGAAATAATTTTCTGATTGCTTCAACGGAGCCAAAACAAAACGTTTTTGTGGTAAAATTCTGGGTGCGAGTTTCCTAAAATAAATTGCCCCATATTAATTCCAGTAAAACTCAGTGTAATTTTTGTTCTGATCTTTTGGTTTCATGTGAACCTATTTTGGAAAAAAACGCGCTCTAAAATCCTAGTTTTCGTCGTTTTGTCCGGACATTAAATCGATACTGTATTGGTGGACTATAAAACAAATTTATTCCAAAAAAAGAAAAAAAAAGTTGTGTTTAAAAACTGATGTTATAACCAACGCAAAAATCATGAAAATGAATAATGTATAGTTTGCAACTGTTTTGTTGAGCCGTAATTCTCACACTGGCTAACATCTGCGCGACTTTGGCCTATCACAGTGAAAATATTGACAGGGGTTCTATGGGCTACGGTTCTATCGTCCCCTGGCTAGGATTTGGGCCCGCCGTGGTCGCAGCTGCACTCGCTTTCTTTATCAAAATGAAGTTTTAGAAGCAAAATGGAAAGAACAACAGAGCAATTGATCAAGTATTTAGACAAAAAACGGAACTTCAGTAGCTGCACCATGCAACATGTATAAGCTTGAACTTTCCTGTTAAAATATTGATGTTTACTTTTTGATTTTATAATGATAATAATATATTTAAACTACCGCATATTGACAATGGTTTGCGCAGAAACTTTTTGGGAAAAAACGAACGGTGAACTGAATTTTCTGCTGATGCCCTAAAACGACCATCATTTACTGTTTTTGTGGGATACAGGCAGTTTTTCAGAATAAAATGGTGTTTTCGAAAAATACAGAAGTTTTGACCAAAAAAATGGATTTTTCTTTTCTCTCGTTCTTCGATCAAAACGTGTTCTTATTGAGCCGAGCTGCCGGATCTACTTAGCAATCTATCCCCCCCCTTTCAAGAAAGGGGGAGATTGTTAAGCAGATTACTTGCAGCGATTTTTCGACCAATCAGAATGCAGCAAAAATCGAATTTACGTACAACACTCTAGTGCGAATTTACTGTTTTTATTTATAGGGGTAGAGATTCTTTAGTAAATACAATAGGGGGGGGGGGAGAGAGATTGTTGAGTAGATTCGAGCTGCTTTTCGCAATTTTTTTCAAATTAATTGGTCAGAAAATTTTTTTGGCCTCGCTGTCGATAAATTTGGCAACCAGAAATGATTGAGCGACAGTCGCTTCCCCTCACACCCGCTGGTCACGCTACTGCCTGTTGTTATAACTCGGAATTTCATTGAGAACTTTGGACTTTTGTTTGAAAAAACACGAGTACAACTGATTCTTAGTTGAAAAAAAAAATGATTTTCGTACACTTCTATAAAGTAGAGAGTTAACTAGTCATACTAACTCTTGTAGAACTTCGGAGATTAGTTAAAAGTTAAGACGATTCATCTACAAGGTGAAAAACCAACATGTGAGCAATTCACTTCTTCAGGAAAAATTCCAGTTGCACCACTGCATTTTTTGGTTTTTTATTTTTCTGGGCTCAGTAATGTTGCCTCAACGTCAAGGGAATCTGATTGCTGATAAAAATCAGATCACAAGCATAAACATGATTTAAAACTTCAAGCACTCGGAGTGTTGGAAAAATTTACACAACTGGTGCGTAGTGTCATATTGAGAAGTCCACTTTTTTCAACCCTAGACGCAAATAGAGAGGTTCGTGAAAAGTTTTCACTGATGCTATATAGCATTTGTTCAATAGCATGTTAAAAGCAGGTGTGATATTAGCTTAGTTAGTGTCAATTGTTTGATTATCACTCAGTAGATAGAAAATTGCACGAAGAGTACATTTCAACTGTTGTGATATTTTTTAATTATCGCTAATATGGCCAATTTGGGACATTTAACGAGCGATGTATTTCGCACTATTAATGCTTCTGCCAAATCCGTCGAAATTGGTTGAAGCAGGCTAGTTGTCATACAAGCTACATTACTAGGAACGAAATTTAGCACTCTGTACTTAATACGTCTTGTACTGCGATGATTTTTAAAATTGTTTTGAAAATAACAAGACTGCTCGTATTAGGGCAAAGCCCTGAATGTTCCAACTGCCTTTTCAGGTCTATGCAGCAGTGAAAACGTGAAAAAAAAATAAATGTAATAAAACAAAATGAAATTTTTTTTTAATTTGAGATTTAATGTACACGCCACATAAAATAAAAAAAAAAGATAAGTTTCGCTCATACTTACAAATCAATAATGGCAAATAAGCTTCCTTCGACCCATTTGGAATGATTTCTAAGAGGGATTAAATCGCGCGTTAATTATCCAAAATTGGTCAAAATGACAATCTTTAAACTCCCACAACTTTACAAAAATTGATCACAGGTGAAATATCTTTTCGAATTTAAGCTGAGATCAACCATAAGTTTTGAATAACATAGAAAATTTGCGTCAAAAAAGGCTAGTTGAAAAGTCAAAAATTGTCTAGAAAAAAACCCACCCCGAGCACAAATATTGCGTTATTTTCGGTTTGAAAGTCGGAACAATAAAGTTAATTTTCTATATCATAGATTAGTACTGTTTTCAGAAAGTTGAAATATACCAGAAACCATTAGCTGCCGAATAACATAATCGCTACACTATCTGTGTTTTCTCTTTTAAACTTCTTCAAAAACTCTGTTGTACGTGAACATCAATTGCTGCTTGCACAGAAACGAACTATTGGTTAAAATCTAATGGTTAAAATTTTATGCATACCAAAACCATTTCACGTTTGCTTTAAAATAACTCGGTTTGAATTAACTGCAGCAAAAGAAGAAGCGTCAAAAGGCGTTTATCAAACAAATCAGAAAAATTATGAAGTTTTGAAATGTCATCAGAAGTTTCAAAACATTTTTCAGTACCGTAACACATTTAAAATGTGTCTCATTTTTATGAAAACATTAATTCAAGCCTTATCCTGATTTTTTATGGAATTTTTTTATACAAAAAGACATTCTTGAAATTCTTCAATTTTTGTGTGAATTTCCAACAGAAACACTTATCCGATATTTTTTTGTGTTATCTCTCACTTGTCTTTAATGCTCCAAATTCAGGAGAAAACGGAATATTTATGCTAGGGCCGTTTATTCTATTTAGTCAATTTTTGACTAGTTAACTTAGTTTTATTCAGTCGAAAATAACAATGTTGGCAGATTTTTTAAATAATATCTGAAAGCTATTGATTTTTTGAGCTCAATTTTACAAAGATGTTATACTTGTCATCATTTTTTGCAAAGTTAGTGTTTGTGTGTGTGTGTGTGGCGGGGTGTATATTGAAGAAAAAAAATGAAACAATTTTTTTTGTTTTCGTTTGTTTCGTCAATTTTTCAACCAATGAACATTCTAATTGACCTCGAGGTGTAGTCAAAACATTCAAAGCTTTGCCTTGATAACAGACAATTGAGCAGTCTTGTTTGTATTTTTAAGTCCTCAACTTCGTGTTTTTCATAAATTGGTTCCCTAAATTTCGGAGTATATACAAGTAAAAATATAAACTAATTTTGAACGGGGAGTGCGCGCCGAAAAAAAAACGCATATTTTTGGTCAAAACTGTCCAAAAAATGCCTGAAAAAATTGTCCAAAAAGTGCCCAATTTTCTCAGCATGAGCCTCATACATGAATTTTGTAGGGCTGACTATGGTATTTTTGTTGCCTCTAAAAAATCGTGTTTTCAAAAAGAAATAAAACAAAAACTGAAAATTCGACCATCGGAAAAAGTTTAAATTAGCAACTACTTTTCAACTTATGTTTCTGTTTTAGAAAAAGAATCTGACAGAAGATGCCCATGCTGGTTTTGGTATCCATGCCTATTTTTGGTTGATGAAATAAATGGTTTTGATAGAAATTTCTCAAACCATCCTGATGATATATGAAATGCAACTTTGCATGGTGGAAAAACTAACAATTCTGAGCATATTTGTTTTTTTTTTACTTCACGGCAAAGTATTAGACATTTGGTCATGGTATCACATAAATGTTTATTACTATGGAAAATTTGAAGTGTAGGGAGGAGGGAGGAGCCTGCAAATAATTTGCAAGCAGCAAAGAAACCTGCACTGATTAGATTAAGCCTATTTCAATAATGGAACTCGTCATATTTTTTCTTTATAGACGCATATTATTGTTTGAACTTTTGAAGAAACTGAAACAAGTTTTTTGCCGGCAAATAAACATTTCAATGAGAGAATCACAACATAGAAAACAAGGATGAAAATTTTTCGTCCTTCAAATTCAGAACCTTTTTCATTTATATTTCTCATGTGCTTCTTTAATCAGATCAACTAATAAAATAAGCTCAGCTCACCTTTCTTGCCTAACAAAGCTGCAAAAAATTCTTTGTCTCTTCCCCTAAAATCAACATTTGAGTATCTTGTTTTGCAAATGCGTTTTTAGCTCTGGTGCAATGCGCTTCCTTTTTGAGCCAATTTTGAAACATTAAACACAATAAACCAACATTATTTAATTCTAAGCTGATTTCAATACATTGTTTTACCAACAAATTGGCTCTCAAGAGTATTAAAATTAAGGATTATTAATTATTAAAAAAACCTTGAGGGGCGCGCTCCCCCATCAAAATTAGTAGAAATTTTAGGGTCTATCACCAAACATGGATTTCTCAAAATAGTACAAAGGGGCCTTTGGGTCGGGAGGGGGTCGAATCCCTGAAGTAGAAGCGTCCGCCCCCCCCCCTCCGACCTCCCCCCTCCACCCTAAATCCGACCCTGTCTCTACCTATTACAGCAATTTACATATCTTAGTTTTAGCTGAAAAAAGGGTTCCGTTTGTCACGTTTGACTGATACCAAAGCCTAAATAGAAATCAAAATAGTGGCTTTTATGGGCTAGAAGTGAAAGCTTATTCAAAAGTTCTACAAAAGCTCATTCATAGATGATTCTAATTTCAGTTCAGGTATGATCAAAATAGCCACCATGACAAGACATAAGGTGAACATCTTATTTGGTAAACAATGATGAGCCATGTTGACAAATATCATTTCATCAAATAAGTTTTGTTTTATTGAAGAAGTTGCGATAATTAACTTTACAATTAAACTGAATTGATAACTAACAGAGACATTTGAGGTTATTAGTTATTGAATAATAATAATTTAGTAATTTATGAGCTAAAATGCAGAAAAGTTCTCTTATAGCGCTTGGGTTTTCCTTCATGCTTACTAGCTTTTCATGGTCTTTGGGCGCCATTGGCAAATCGGGCTACTCTTGGAAAGTTCAAGTGGGTTCACAAGTGCATAATTATTCACTCGGTCTATGGGATTTTTGCCTGGATGATGATTGCAGGATTTACAGTCATGGTAAATTATTTTTAACCGCCATGTTAAAGTATATTGGTTTCTTGAAATAAGAAACTTAAAATAAGCTGTTGAACAAAACGACACTAAAATTTAAAGTTCAAAAGCAAACTCTGTTATAGAAAATTTTGAACTTTCAAAACACTCCATCTATTACACTGCATCTTTTTTACACGGCTTCCCTCCTGAAACTTAGAAAAACATAGAGCTCTAAATTTGCTCATCAAACGACACATTATAAGATGATTTAGGTAATATAAAATATACCGACGAACGTTTTAAACTGAAAAAAAAGGTTTTATTAGATTTTACACTTTAACAAACAAGATTCAATTTAGTAAGAATTGTCTAAATTGGAAAAAAACCATGTTTGGAAATTAAGCCGCCGAAAAATAAGCGGTCCTACGAAAGTCCTAAAACGCACTTTTTCCATGATACAAGTTTTTATTTCATATAAATAAAAAACCGAGATGTGGCCGGAATTTAAAATCCAGCCCTAAAGATCCAAAAGCAAAAGCTGTGGCACTGGATCAAGTGGCAATGACCAGGAAGCTGATGAGGTTCTTTTATATAAACAACTCCAACTTCCGAAAGATTTGTACGAAAAAATTTTTACCTGAAAAAATTTCTAGTTCCCGATTACAAGTTACTTGCTCTCGACATTAGAGAAAAAAAATCAAAAATCCAACAGTTAATTCAAAAATTGAGTTTGAAAACTCCAAAACATTAATTTAAAAAACGAAACCACGCGACATAAATCATTGCCTTCAATTCGTTCGTTGACATCTGAAAACAGTTTTGAGAAAACTTTCCGACTAAGAGAATTTTCCGACTGCCCTTCTGTTAATAAAGAAACAATTTTTTGTCCCCAGAGCCAATAAATTCTGTCGTTTGAGTGCCCTACAGCCAATATTTGCTTTGTCTCCATCAAATTGGAATCATTTTGAGTGCTTGTTAGTGATTGCTCATGGGAAGAGGAGGATCCAAATTAAAATTAACTTAAGTACAAAGGGTGTCCTACGAGTGTCCTACAGGAGGTCCTCCAGCTTAACATCAAACAATTTAACACCAAACGTTTTAATAGCTAATCATTTTAATCGTTAACAGTTTAAATCTTAGACAATTTAACTGTGACCAATCATTTCCTCCCCAGACACTTCCGCCCCAAAAACCCAGTCATTTCCGCCCCAAAAGCAGTCATTTCCATTTATTTCGTGTTGATATATATTATCAAACAGATGGATTTTTATACTATTGTCCATATTATTCGTTTTGATTCAAACCGAGAGCAACATGCGAGTCAACATATTGCGCACAGAGTTTGAAAACAGGTATCGCGAGTTTGAAAACAGAGAATAGACTCTATACAAAAGTTGGAGCCGGTTGTCCGCCCACAGACGACCTTAAACAGAGAAGCGTTCAGTTGCAGTGATGTAAAAGGGCTGACGTAAGAAATGGCAGAGAAAGAAAATATTTAGTGTCAGATTCAGGGCGGACGGATCTAGGATTTTCTCGAGGGGGGGGGGCGGATTTTCAAAAATTATTCGAAAATTTTGTCGACCTTTTTTTTAGGTCGACCGAATTGATTTTTCGAGCTCTCCCTAAGCTTGGTTTATTCCCTGTTTTGATCAAATATTGTGCTGCGCTATTCTGCCCTTGGGTCGGCAGGGGGTCGAATCCCTGAGGGGGGGGGGGCGTCCGCATCCCTGAGGGGGGGGGGGCCTAAATCCGCCCCTGGTCAGGTTTATTGGAGTTAAGAGAGTATGAACCGTGCAAAAAAGTATTAACATTTTATTCTGCCAATAAATGTTCGAGAATAGTTAAGAAGCCATCATCGTTAAGAAGCCATCATCGAATAGTTAAGAAGCCATCATCAACCAAAACGACAAACTCGTCAAAAAAAATCGGCCCTTACAATTTTCAACATCCTCTCGTTGCATCTCAGTCTAAGCTTGTGATTTGTTTCAGATGACCTGCTAGAATTGGGAGAGAAATTCTCATTTCGAATAAAAATAGCTCGTGCTTGTTTCCTAACTGGCTTCGTAGCTTCTGCTGCTACCATGTGGAGTTTCTTATTGTTCTCGGACAGTTGTTTAATTGGGGTGACTATCACTGTCGCGGTAATTAATGGTTAGTAATTACTTTCCGTAGATTTTTTCTTGATATCGTCATTTTACTTTTCGTCATATTTTGATCCGCTATTAGTTCATGCTTGGTTTTCCCATATTTTTAGAAGTTCTCAAAAATTTTTCAAAAATTGAAATTTCTTACATTATATTTTTTTGAATTGATTCAGCGGAAACGATCTATCTTCAACTATGAATAGAACGGAAGATATAACTCATGAATTTGCCCAATAGTTCTTTTTAACTAGCTCCTTTCTTAAATAAAAAAAAATAAAAAATAATAATATGTTTGTGTCAATTTTAGTGTGTCTTCTAATTACAGCCAATGCATTCCACACACTTGCCTACAGTTCAGTTCCTGCTTCCGGTCTGTTTGGGTGGAGCTTCCTGATGCCTTGGGCAGCCACGCCATCCGCCTCAATAGCCCTTCTTCTAGCTATTTACTACAAACTCAACAAGAACTGAACAGATATCTGTTCGATTCTGTTCAGACATATTTGTAAATTTTATACTTACAATCAAATTACTTAATTTTATAAGATACTTTTGTACTATTTTTAAAAAAAAATTATATATTTGGGATGATGTGTTGTTTGATACAGTTTTCCAGAAAGTTTTCGAGCCCAATGAAAACGAAACAGCATATGTTTTCCGATAAAATTAATCCCAATTTTCCTCATTTCAATGAAATTGAATTGGTTTGGGTATAGGATGCATTGGGTGCAAATTAATAATGTTCAAAAAATTTGAATAAATTGGGGTTTGTAAATCCACAGTTGATTCAGGTTCCCATCAAGTCGCTTATCAAAACATTCGGATTTGCGTAAATCGTGACTAGAACTGCTGGCAACAATCTCGCTATGCTTTTCCGATAGTTTTCAAAGCTAAAGCAAAGCAGCTATCCCATAGTTGTAATCAACGCTCACTTCTCATGGTGTAAACAATCGTGTTTTAATCGTGATTAATAATATGATATAAATCACTGACGAAGAATAATTTCAAAGACAAATGTTAGAGCTCTTTTTAATTGCCTTGAAAAAATAGTTTGATACTGCTGGTGCTGCCTTGAAAAAAGAAGATCAGAATCGCAAAAAAAGTCCACTTTTTGAAATTGAAATTTCAAATTAGTCTACGCTTCTCCCAAATCTACAAAATAGGCCTGAACTTAAAGTATAAGTTGGCTTAACTTGTTTCTAATGTAACTTATTTGGATCTTTAGGTGAGTGTTATTGTTCCGACTGTCAAAGAAAGTGACGGCATAGTTATGCTTCAGGTGTTTATTTTCTATGTAGACAAATTTGAATTTTAATTTTACTATTTTTGACGAACTTCTCTAGCCATATGAAAGATATTGATGGGATCTTGTTACTTATTTTTCCCCTGTTGCAATAGGGGAGGGGAGGAGGGAATAGTAAACAAGGTTCAAAATTCGTAATGCTTAACTGTTCAAGTCTTTCTTTATAGGGCAGGGGGGAGATATTCGTTACAAGGTACCATAGGGGGGAGGGGGGAAATTTAACAAGATCCTATTGATGTCCTGAGCTCAAAGCTAAAATGATTTTTTGGCTGCCACAATTGTTGCTCCGAATTTTGCAGAAAGCTTCAAATTATTCATGCTTCGGATAGTTTTTTCCTTCAGACCAAACTTTTTGATCGAAAAATTAAATCAACAAAAAACTTGGATCCCTAATAATTATACCGAGTCCTTGAGTAGAAGGTTCCCGCTTTTTAAATCTAAACAACTTAACACCATACATTTTCACTCCCTGCTTTTTGTTGCCTTCGCAATTTATCATTTTATAACCATTTCCAGGAGTTAACACCGTTTTAATCCAAAATGAAAAGAAAACTTCTTTCCAAGGGGAATCCGGTAAAGATCAAAGAATTAAACGAGAGAATTTTTTGCCGCTTAAAGCCAGGCATTTTCGTGCTGCTTAATTCGCATAAGTTCTGAACAGAAATGACCATGCAAATATTTTCAATAAACCGTTTCAAAACGAAATGAAATGGCCTTGCCAATATTTGCAATGAATCATTCCAAATTGAACCAAAAACAAGCAATAGTTCAATGAACTTCAAAAGCCCGCAAAAAATTAGACTTCCTTTGACTAATATGGTCTCATTTTCCAGATATTTTCAGCCGAAAATAAGGGCGGTTGTGCTGGGACTAACTTGCTAAGGCACGAGTCAAGTTCTTGTGTTTAGTTACGTTTCCGGGAGTCTGCAAGGAAATACCTTTTCAAAAAAGGCTGACAAAATTTTAAGTAGGATTGAAATTTGAGTTTTAATAAAACTTAAAAATAGACAAAAATGAGACAAAACTTACAATGGCTTAACACAAACTAGAAAACGCTCTGAAAAAGTACAAATCAACTTTGTCTTCGTAAACGAACATTATGTTTTGTACTATTTCATTTAATACTCAAATTTTTTTTCGTTTTTTGTGAATTGATTGTCACTCGATGCATCCAAAAAAATTGATAACTTAAGCGGAAGCGTCTTTTTGCAGACTGCTCATTACTTTCCACATATTTGGGTGGGCTCCGCTGAAATAGGATTGAATCCTGAAATGCCATCCCTCTCGACAGCATTTCTTGTTCGAGCAATCCCTCTCAGGTCAGCATCTCGCTGGTTTCAATGGGAGTTTGGGAAAAAAAACTTCACAGGTTGAAATCAAGCTTTTTTATAAGTAAAGCCGAATTGCAGACATAACACGTCAATTGTCTCAGTTTTTTTTGGCTTCTTAACAACTTACGCATGCATTCTGAATTTCCGATCGATCATATCATAGGAATTGCCGATCTTTTCTTTCTTTTTTTTCAAATGCAAGGGATGGCAGCATTTGTATAGCAACGCTAAATCAAGATTCGTTTCGTAGGTCATTTTCAGACCCAATTCAATACATTTTTGATGTGTTTCTGGGAGAGATGAAAAAAACAACCCGATAAATATGCTCCGAGGATTGTTTCTGGAAAGACTGAAGAGGAGCTTGCTCAAAAAGCAACAAAAAATTTTCGGGCCGGCAGTTGGGTGCTAAATCAATTAATGCCTGCAAGATATTTGCAAGTTTTTTCGGTTTTGTTAGGAAGAAAGGCATAAATGCAAGCCAGCGCAATGCATTTACATGAATTGAGTATAGCTGACAGAACATTTTTGGAGTAATTTTAAAAATTCCATCGGCTAATCAGAAAGATAACCTCTCCAGAACTCTCAGCAGTTCGGGGTCGCGGCACACAATGATTTGCTCGTGATCATTTGATCCACTGTCATACCGGATAAAATTTTCGAAAATTTCAGGGATCTCGAAATTTTGCGCAACGGAGATAGGCGGTATATTTTCATCTAGCTGATTACGTGTGCGTGCAGCCGTTCGGATCAGTTTGTTTTTACTTGGTAGGGCAAACTGAGTGGCCACATCGTTTGTAACTGGTAAAATTGCTTTGCCACAAGCGACAGTCGAGGTAAATTTTTCGCTTAGATCTTTTAAATGCTTTATGACATTTCGGGCATCTAATTTTCCCGCTGAAATGTCATAGTTATGCTCTCCACGCGTCTCCGTTAGTTCGTTATTTTCTGTAATGGCAGTTGCTCGACTTTTAATGACATTTATGTGCTTCATATTTTGAGCAAACACAGTTTTTGGTACACTTATTTTTCGCTTGAAATAAAATTCCTGGCCGGACGCTATAAGAAATGGCTTGTTCTTAGATCAAACTGTGGATTTGAAATAAGAATCAATCACATTGTGTTTTTTTGTGTTTGCGTTTGTTTATCACTTGAATAAAGTATAAAGTAACGGTCAGAATTTAGATTTTGTCAGAAAGGTTACGTCAAAAATGTTATGAGTTAGCACAAGCAGGTTTGTTTTGTGATCATAATCGTTTAGCGAAAAGTCTAGATAAAAATAAAATACGAACTTGTCGATAAAAGTCTTAAATAATTTGGGAAGCCTCATTTTACTATGTATAACTAAGATAAACCAAACTTTTCATTTTGATGCGTGCGTTAACTACAGCATTAAATTTGTGTGATAAAAGTTATGATAGGGAGTTCATACAACATTAATTTTAACAGTGAAATCACTAGATGCTAAAATGTACGGTGTTAAACTGGAATTTAGGAGTTAAATTGTTGTGGATTTAAATTGTTCATTAGTGAAATGACTTGGTGTTAAAATGCACGGTGTTGAATTGTATGTTATTAAACTGTAGGACACCGAGTAGAAACGTGCTTTCATTGTTGTGGCGAACTACCACTCAATCGGTATTTTCCGATTTTATGGATGACAAGCTAAGTTTTTAACAAATCTTTATAAATCTGAAGTTTTAACAACACAGACACTTGATATTGGAAAACCGAAATTTATAGTTTAACGAAAATTTATTCAATCAAAAAGATCTGAGATCATTTGTTTTGCCTTCAAAACAGTTAGAGATTTACCTTGACATACGAGCAGCCTCGTTTGTAAAGTTATGGTTTTTTGTACCATTTTGGCCATGTACCATTTTTGTATCATTTCGGCTGATGCTGTACAAGCTGCACACAACGCTCCGACTAAAGTTTTCACTCACAAACAAAATTTTTTCTTTTTGAAAAATTTGAAGAAAGTTTTAAATGAAAAAAATCAATCAGCGGATATAGTGTAACTGTATAGGGTCATTCCAAAACGCGGTTTTTAATGCTTTGTTTTTAATTTATTTTGAATTAACAAGGATTTTCTCATCGACCAAAATTATTTTATTTTCAGTGAACTAATTCAATCAATAATAAAGTGAAAATTCGATAAACCGCAAAAAACCTGCCTGTACACAAAAACAATACAATATAATGAAGCATATCATCAGTCATTGACAATGAAGTTGGCGAATTTTTGCTCCCTCTGGCAAAAATAATGGTTTCATTGTCCCAAAATTTTGTGAAATGAGAAAATACTTAAAAAAAACATGTTTTAAATTTTCCTGCAATCTCAAAACACAATGATAAACCATTCATGTGTGATAAAATTAGAAAATGCAAACAGTCTATCCTGTAAAAGAAGACTTAGTTCCATCAGTTTTCGCTAAATTTAAGTCGGTTTCTGAGAGAAAAACTGTTTATTTTTGGCATTGAAAAAGACGCAAATCAATCTTAAAATAGACAACAAAATTTCATTTACCTTAACAAATTGTTATTTCAATTAAAAATGGCCGGATTGGGTGACAGACAAGCAACAAAGCTTCTGAATTTTTTTTTTTTAGTTTTTTTGTTGTTGGAGTTTAAAGGCAGAGGATTGCGTTTTCTGAAAATCACAAAAAAGTAATTATCAAAATTTTTTTTTAACCGTTGAGCTTAACTGAACCGTTCAACTTATATTAAAAACAATACAAAAGTGTGAAAAATAATTGCGTGTGAAAAATAATTGCAACATACATATGATCG